AACCTTTACAGTTTTGTACTTTATAAATAGTATTCCTAGAAAAATGGAGCTGGATGTTAGAAATTATTATGCTTCATTGATTGCAAATTTGAAGTATCTATTCTCAGCCAGCATTGAACTGCAGAATTTCCTCTCTGTGTGTGATACTTTTTGAAATGACCACCTTCTCATTTCCCTTTGTTAAATGATGTTTCCATCTTGGACACAGCTTCACCTAATATCAGACTCTTCTGTGCATTTATAGTAGTAAATATGTTAAAGAATTTAAAGCTGACTTATAAACTGTTTATTTCATTCACTGGGTCATACTGGCCTTGCTCTCTTTCTTCTGACTGTGAAAAGTCTGATCAGTCTCTAAGGTGTTTGCTCCCTGCACTGCTGGGTGCTATGGGTACTTTCAAGGAGGGAGCAGGATTCCTTGAGTTGCTAGGAATTTTGCAAGTAGAGATGAATTCGTGACCAGACCTGAAACAAGAGGTGCAAGGGAGCTATTCAAGCCCCTGAAGCCTATCCCCTGGTAAAATAAGTAAGCACCAGTAACTCTGGTCATTTAACAGCCATCCCTCCTAGATTTTGTGCTGGAAGTACTCCAAGTAAAGCAGTTTCTGCAACTGCCACATGCCCTTTGGCTCAAAGGCAGCTCTGAGCAGCGGTGTGGTGGGTTGATCCTGGCTGGAGCCCAACAGGTGCCCACCAAAGCTGCTCTATCACTCCCCTCCTCAGCTGGACAGGGGAGCCAAAACATAACAAAAGGCTCATGGGTTGAGATAAGGACAGGGAGAGATCACTCACCAATTACCATCACAGGTAAACCAGTCTCCACTTGGGGAAATTAGTTTAATTTATTGCCAATCAAATCAGAGTAGGGTAATGAGAAATAAAACCAAATCTTAAAAACACCTTCCCTCCACCCCTCCCTTCTTCCTGGCTTTAAATTCACTCCCGATTTTCTCTACCTTCTCCCCGCCAGTGAAGCAGGGGGACGGGGAATGGGAGTTGGGGTCAGTTCATCACCCGCTGTCTCTGCCGCTATTTCCTCCT